CACAGTTTGTGAGTTCGAGCCCCACATCAGGCTCTGTGCTGACAGCTCGGAGCCTGAAGCCTGCTTCGGATTCTGTGTCTCCCTCTCCCTCTGCCCCTCCCCCACTCGTGCATGGTCTCTCTCTCTCTCTCTCTCTCTTTCAAATGTAAATAAACATTTAAAAACTTTGTAAAGAGAAGAAAAGAGCTACCAAGAGAAAGGCACAATAAGCATATACATTTCTCCTGGAATGCAGACCTGGGTGTAAGTGTGGAAAATTCAAAGAGGAAATATTCATCTTGAACTTCCAAGCCAAATGTAAATAGGCTACAATTCTTCAGAGATAGTAAGAGGTCAGAATTTGCCTAGAAAGAAGTTCAAGTTATATTACTGATCCAATTCAAAGATAAGAAGTTCCCACAATAAAGGAAGTTAGAGTCATTTAAAAATTTCAAATACAGTTTCATTCATTCCTTCATCATTGAACATGTTTGCTATGTACCAGGCACTATTCGGTGAACAGAACAAAAACCCCTTCCCCTTCCTTCCCTGATGGAAAGCACATTCTAGAAGAGGACCCAGCACTAAAGAAGATAGACAAGTAAAATATAAACAAAGGTACTGAGTAATAAGTGGCAAAGTTAAAAAGAAAGTGGAAAAGGAAGATCCGAAGTGATGTGCACATGGGAACATTTGTGTTCAATACGGCCAGGGAAAATCTCATTGAGAAAGTAATACCCAGGTCCTATGAACCATAAGATATCTGGAAGAAAACTATTTCCAGCAGAAGGTAGGTAAGTACAAAGCCTCTAAGTTGGGAGTGGAGCAAGCTGACAGTTGGCTGCATGAGGCAGGGGGCTGCGGTGTGGGATGCAGTGGGGCTGGGGAGTAGGTCACCGGAGGCAATCATGCACAAGCACAGGTCACAGCGGGGAGCGGCTTTTGCTTTTTTTCTTTCCATGCTCTCAGAATTAAGAACAAATCTGTAGTGCCACACTCAGAGTTCTCGAGAGTCTGGCTCATGGGAGTCCCATCCCCCAACCACTTGCGCTTTCTGCCAAAGCCACTGCGGAGGTGCTAGGATCTCCCTGCCCTGAAGATCTCTGGAAGTGCTATTTCCTCTGTCTCCAGGACTCTCCTGTCCACCACTTCCCTTCCCACTTTTGGTGGTTTGGCAATTTTAGGCACTGATTCTTCCAGAAAGTCCTTCTATGCCATATTAACGGTTGGCTGAACTGCATGTTTTCCCATGTGTTTCCACAGAATATACTACTACCCTCGAACATCACCTTGATCGTGTTTATACGGGTTTCTTAGCTCCTTAAAGTTATGGAATGGTGCATTTAGCTTGTATCCCTTGTTCCTAACAGGGTTTGGCATACAAAGTCAATACTTGTTGAATGAATAAAGAATGGATCTTGAACAAGGTTCAAATCACTATACAAAAATCTTAATAAAGGGTTGTATGAACTATCAGATCTACATAAAAAATGAAAGTTTCAGAAAAGCTCTACTTCTGAATCATTCAGATCTTTTATGTCACTGAAACAATTTAGTCTAACATTTGTCCGTCCGCTAATTAAATAAGAAATGCTAACTAACTTAATCAAGTTTTACATAGCCAGAAACTCCCAGTAGAAATGAGATGGGGGAGGTTAAAGCAAGTTAAAGTACAAAGCCACTTCTCTTTGTTTGTTCTCAATGGCATTACCATTAAATCTTTCTTCCTCTGTCTTCTCTACTTAATAAAATAAAGGCCACAGGGAACCAGGAGCAGGTAATCAAAGTCAAGCACAATGCCTCCCTCTTTCCTAACACTTCTTCCTTTAGTACTTTAGAGAAGAAAAGCCTGGGGAATCAGAAGCTGTCAGCAGGTGAGAGAAACAGGCCTTTTAAGTACTTTGATGTCAGGCTAAACTGAAACCAATGAACCAGTACAAACCTCAAAAGGGTCTAAGAGTCCAGACTCCATATTAGAAAATCAAGATGGGTTAGCAGAAATGCTTCTAAGCAAAATGTGTATTTATCATATACACTCATACAATTGACCAAAAAAAAAAAAAAAAAAAAAAAAAAAAAAAAAAAAAAAAAAAAAATAGAAAATGAACAAATTACTTAACTCTTATTTATGTTTCTCTAAGGCTTTCTCTTAGTTTTTCTTTAGTTTTTTTAATGTTTTTATTTATTTCTGAGAGAAAGAGAGTGTGCAAGCGGGGAAATGCAGAGAGAGCAGGAGACACAGAATCCAAAGCAGGCTCCAGGCTCTGAGCTGTCAGCACAGAGCCCAACACGGGGCTAGAACTCACATACTGTGAGATCATGACCGGAGCTGAAGTTAGATGTTTAGCCGACTGAAGTCTTAGGTGGCCCAGGTTCTCCTAAAGCTTTCCTTTTGACTCTGATGTTTGGTTATGAATCAAATTCAATACTGGCATAGATAATACTGTGTAATATACAAATAAGCTTCCTAATCTGTATACTAATTAAGATTCACCAGCGTCTTAGGCCTTAAATTAACAAAATGAAACTGTGACAATATGCCCAAATCATAGGAATTAGATTTTAATCATAGACAAAACCTCATCTAAAAGCTGAAAATGTAAACCTACAATAAAACACAGAGTATACCAGGTTATCGGGAAATTTCATTATCTCTTCGAATAAAACATGGCTTCAGATGAGTAACAAGGTCATTTGCTAATGGAGTTCTTTCTCTCTTTAGGCTCAGTGTGAGCTCTGTCTCTGTTTAATTCATTCTGAAAATAGAGTTCCCACTTACAGACCAATACAAAGTATCCAACAGTATCTTTGTGGCAGTATTTTGTTTTGTTCTGTGTTGGGCTGCCCAGCATTTGAACTTCCCTCTTATTATCTTGGAATTCCTACTATGAAATCAAAAGAGGAAAAGACATCTCTTTCTCCACTGCCTGGTGCTTTAGGCATGTAACCTAAAATTGGCCACATAGGTGTTCCTAATATGTCAATCTAGGAGATTAATTCAAGTCAGCAAGTCTAGTTACCAATTTGTAGGTTCTCCTTAAATTTTTACCGCTGCCCCTTCTCTCTTGGGGCTACTTTTTTCTGAATCGAGCTCTTCAGTCTTCCCTTTTCATGAATTCCTCTTATATTTACATCAGCTGAAGCTGGCATTTGTTGATACAACCAGGCTGAGACCCAGCTTGAGCAAAACTAGTTTAAATTTTCTCTTAATTGTTTGCAACAACTCAGGATTGAGACATTGGATTGTCCCAGTTGCCTTTTTTGAAATCTCTTAGAAAAATAAACAAGAATATTGCTAACATAAAAGGGTATAATTTCAGAGAGTCAAGGAAAGTTGACCAGATTTTCTAAAAATCCAGCACAAACACCAAATAGGTTTAAAAAGCAAAGGAAGAGAATGTGTTTCCACAAGCCCTAACTTAAAAGCAAATGCTTCCAAACCCTACTGTGACACACTTTGCCCAATCAGTAGTTCTCAACTAGTAACCATTTTGCCACCCAGGGGACATTTAGCAAGGTTTGGAGACATTTTGGTCATCACAACTGCTGGAGGGGTGCTATTGGCATCTAATGGTTAAAGACCAGGAATGCTGCTAAACATCATACAATGTACATACCAGCACCCCACAGCAAAGAATTCTCTGCTTTAAAAATGTCAACAGTGTCAAGGTTGAGAAACCCTGCCCTATACTATTATCTCCCTTTAAATCAATATAAGTAAATGTCCCACAGAATATGTGTTACATAGTCCACAATACCCAAATCCTTTTATAATTACTTGTGAAACCTCATTTCCACCCTAATGTTCAAAGAAAATCTCATAGGGTACCTGGGTAGCTTAGTTGGTTGAGCGACTGACTTTGGCTTAGGTCATGATCTCAGGGTTCCTGAGTTCGAGCCCCATGTCGGGCTCTATGCTGACAGCTCGGGGTCTGGAGCCTGTTTCATATTCTGTGTCTCCCTCTCTCTCTCTCTGCCCCTCCACTGCTTGTGCATGTGTGCTCTCTCTCTCTCTCTCAAAAAAGAAGGAAGGAAGGAAGGAAGGAAGGAAGGAAGGAAGGAAGGAAGGAAGGAAGGAAGGAAGGAAAGAAAAGAAAGAAAAGAGTGAGTCTCATAATTCATCTGTCAGTATTATAATTCACCCAAGAACTAAACAGATGGGAAAGAACAACAAAAAGGAACAAATAAGGGAAAGGCACAGTATGTAAAAAGACCTGTAAAGGGCCAGGAGTGCCTAAGGGCAAGACAGGATCCCCAGGGTGAAGAAGAGTTGTGTTTATGGCAAAGAATATCTGGAAATAAAGCTTGCAGAAATGCTGTGATCAGATTCCAAATGTCTTCTCCATCACAGGAGTCTAGATTATACTAAGTAGTAGTAATTTTTTTTAAATGTTTATTTACTTATTTTGAGAGAGAGACAGAGGGAGAGAGAGAATCACAAGCAGGCTCCACTATGTCAGCACGGAGCCCAACACGGGACTCGATCCCACCAACCTTGAGATCATGACTTGAGCTGAAATCAAGAGTTGGACGCTTAACAGACTGAGCCACCCAGGCACCCCTAAGTAACAGTAATTTTTAAGGAAAACATTTTTAACTAGTTGTTCCTTAGGGAGAAAACTCTGGTGTCACACTAGGTGGTGATCTAACGTGAGAGGAGGCTGGTCATCGGGAGGTTGGGAGAGGCTGCTGCACTGGTACAAGAGCTGAGAGGAGCCAGGCTGACAGGATGGCAACATGGGTGGAAGCAGAGGCCAGGAGAGGATTTGAACATATTCTTAGAGTCTTGCTCACCTCTCCCTGTAAAATGAGTATTCTCCAGTACAATAACATATAAATATAAGGGATAAAAACTCAATTAGTTAATGACATACCTCTATTTTTTCCAATGTGCATCAAAAGAAAAGCAAAGTAACACATGTCAGTGAATTAAGTGAATTAAAGTTTGAACAATATGAATGCATTTTAAGTAATTTCGATAGCATTTCCAAACAGCATATACAGAAAGTGTATGATATTACCTGCTCCAGAACGTCTTTGTAGGTAATAGTTGCTTTAGTATCAGTAACAGGACTGTCATAGATGATAGCAATCTTATCTCCTTGACCATTTTCAATATGACGATCAACGGCATTGTAACAAATGTTAAGCATTCCTTCCACAAACCTGAAAAATTGGAAGGTAAAGGTTAATAATTCTTTCCAAAATATATTGTTGCTTAACTAGGTTGTATATTTCTAGTTTGGCAGCGCTGCCCTTAAATTAGTGCTTCCCGTGGCACACATGCAATGCCAGGTAATATCTAGAAAGTAGACATTTAAGATGGTAAAGAAGTGACATCTTTGTTTTCATATGTGTTTCGCTTTTATGTGCACTAGAAAAAAAATATACCTCACACTTCAAGGCGACAGCTTTGTAGATTTTATTGCTTAGGACGGAACGACAGTATAGACACCAAAATAATCTACGTGAAATGGATGAAATGAATTGTATGTAAGTACAGCGCAGCCCACAGAAGCATTAGGCTGAGAGAACAAATGGCAGACGTATGACTGAGTTTGGGTAACTGCTGTAAACAGACCAGCTTACTGGAAAATTCAATTCTCCTTTAAAAGAGCTACACACACACACACACACACACACACACACACACACACACACACACACATATTTGTTTCAATTAAGTGGGATGCCTCCAATTGCCCAAATGGATAAGCTCTATTCTGCATGTTTGAAATGCTCCATAATTTGAATAAAGTATGGACATGCATATAACATTTTAATTAATTTTTTCAAAAACTTTTGCAATTTCGTACTTTTCATCTCCCAATTTATCAACGCCTTCCTCTGAAAACACAGACATCATGTAGATGGATGGAGATAACGTTTTGAAAAATATAGCTCATTTTTTTTCCAAAAGAAAAAGTTTTGCATTTGCCCCTTCTCTAGGAGGAGGGGATTAAACCAAAGCATATAAGGACAGTAATGGTCTATTTGTCCCAACACCAGGCTAACAAATATCATAACAATGAAAAATAACAGGAAAAAAAAAAACATTGAAGCAAGAAGAAAAAGTCCTGTCAGATAGCAGAACATCACCTTCAGGTCTTCACGCAAAAAGCCCTATGTGAAATGAGGCAGTGAATTAAAAGCAGCTATAGATACAGTGGCAGCATTAAGAAATAACACACAGAGAACGCAACAGGAAGAGGGATCACTTACTCAGGGTCAAATGACCCTATATACTTCAATAACCCGAATATGACTACCTGACAGCATAGCACAAGGAGCAGTTAATGTAAAGATTCTGAATCACCAAGTGTGAAAGATTCAGTGTTTGTTCAAAAATACCGTCTCTTCCCCTTGCCCCCTCTCCACGAGTGGAGAATACTTCCCTTGTTTGGGGCTCATGCAGGTGACTGTGCTTTGGCCAAAGAGCTGACATAAGTCAAGCAGAGGCATGAAGGCACCTGTGCCTGCTCTCCTTCACCTCTACTTTCTCCAGAAGAGCCTCCTTCACCTCTACTTTCTCCAGAAGAGCCTCCGGGTGTCTGTGACTGCTGCCTAGTATCGGCCTAGTATCCAAAGCAAATATTTGCAGGTGGAGGAGAGCCCAAGAAGCAGGAAGTGTAGCCCAGTCAGATACATGTCTAGGAGCAACGTTTCCAGTCATCTGACCCCATGACAACCTAGAGATACGTGGAAATCACTGCCGAATATGTTATGATTTGGACATTTGGTATGATGATTTGACATGCAGCATAATTGTGGCTTTAATTAGCTAACATGCCAAGAAAAAAGATAGTTTGCTCAATGTTTTGTATCAGAAAGAAGAAAAGATGTTTTATGGAATTTTCCCACAAGAATATTTATTTGTATTGTTTTTGGTTTTGTTTCTGAAAAGAACACGTTTCGGACACATGGAATATTGGCTTGCTGGAATACTTCTTGATGTTGTTATTATTGTCCTTCTCTTTATCTACAACTTCTACTCTACCACTCTGTGCTCAACAGTTAATTACACTCATGACATTGCACAATAAAGAGGCCCTCTCAATACCAAAGATTGATGAAGGATTCACTTTATCATTTGCTGACTATTCTCCTACCTCTTCTTCCTTCTCAATATCTTTCACGGAGTCTACTTCCTCTGCCAGATCTTTGACAGTGATCCCTAAGGTTCCATATCCATCCCTTGGCTCACTCTGTATATACTCCCTGGGTGATCTTAATACTCATATGGCTTTAACTTCCATCCTCAGCTCCAGCCCTGGCCTCTTTTCTGAGCTCCATACTCTTATAGCCAACAGTCTGCTGGACATTGAAGGGAGTCCAGAATGAACCTCCCCAAAACATGCTACTTTGGAATGTAGGTTATTTTGGGTAGAAGACAATCAAGTACCAAGACTCAGGAAGACTTTTTAACCTCCCCTCTTTATTGTCTCTAAGAATTTAGATAGAGGGCCTAGTCCAAGGAAAGGCTTATCACTGAAGATAAGTACAAAGAGTATGGGCTGGGCGTGGTAGGGGTGGAGTGGGGAGTGGAGAGTACTTGGCAGTTTGTTCAATTCCTCTCTGTATCCCGTGGCCTTTGCATGGCATGGCAAACGTTTGTTTACCAAACGCTTGCTCCTCCCATCTTCCTGTGAACTGTCTTCCTTCCCTTTGAAACTCTAGGCCCCTACCCCCTTCTCCTTAGCTCAGGATGGCATATAAACCTCAACGGTCTGACTCTCTTCAAACCTCTCATGTCTGTGTGAGACTCCCATACATCCAAAATTAATTTTTCTCCTATTAATTTCACTTTATGTCAATTTAATTAATAGATCAGCCAAAAGAATGACAAAGGATACAGGATTTCCTCCCCAACAACATCTATTTGGAAAGAATAACATGTCCAAAACAATAGTCATTTTCACCCTATCTCAACCCGTAGCCCCATGCCAAATGCAAACCCTCCCCTTCTCCTGTTTTCCATATTTCAAGGAACCACCTTGCACCCAAGGACCTGAATTAGAAACCCCACAGTCAGATTTGACCCCTCATTCTCTACATTCAGTTGGGTATATGTAACATTACATTAGTCTCTGTAAATATTCAGTTCTCTCATTCACAACCTGGGTTAGAATTACTGCCTCCTAATTAATCCTCCTGCCCCAGGCCTTACCCTATCCTCTCAAGTCATCTCTCTATGCTATTAGAATGTTTTTCCTCAAAGTCAAACTGAGAAAGACAAATTTCATGATTTCACTCAAATGCAGAATCTAAAAAGCAAAACAAATGAATAAATAAACAAACAAAAAGGAGAATCAGACCTATAAATATAGAGAACAAACTGATGGTTGCCAGAGGGAAGGAGGTGGGGATGTGTGAAAGGGAGTGGGAGATACAGGCTTCCAGTTATGTAATGAAGTCACAAAGATGAAAAGCGCAGCCTAGGCAATGTAGGTAATGATACAATAGCATTTTACAACGACAGAAGGTAGTTCCACATGTAGTGAGTGAGCATAGTATAACGTATAAATTGAATCACTATGCCGTACACCTGAAACTAATGTAAATTGTGTGTCAACAATACTCAAATTAAAAAAAAAAGTTTTTAAAGAATGTTTTTCCTCATAAATGTTCTCATACCAACTATTTGGTGCTCAAAGTCATTTACTACCGTTGCATGAAGTTCAGAATAAAAACTATGTATCTTTAGATGGCATGCAAAGACCATTCATCTCAGCTTTATTTCTCCTCATCCAACTTCCCACACTCCAGCTCTAATGAATTATAAAATCTATATTTCCTGAATCCGCTCAGCTGTGGATTCTTTCTGTGACTGTTCTCCACCTTTACCTTTACCTTTACCCCACCTTTACCTCCCCCAAGCAGTTCCAAAGCCCTATGCACACATCTCTACCATAGTACTTACCACATTGTATTAACAATTGGTCTACCTACTGATATATTTCCCTCATTATACTGTAATCTACCTTACAGCAGAGAAAATGCCTTATTCTCCTTATAGTCCTAGTGATGTCGGAGTGTGGGGCAAGCTGAGGGCAAAACACAGGCTAACAGCAACCTCCCCACCAAGTGGAATGTGTGATATTCCTCAGACACTCCTGGCTACTCAAGAACAAAGGAAAGGTGTTTTAAATGCTTGCCATGGGAATGTGGGAAACTAAGGCAAATGAAAAATTAAATTCCCTTCCTGCCTACAGCCCATTGACAAGTCCTTGAAACTGGCAGAGTGACCTCCTTCTAGAAGCCCAGCTGCCTGGATGATGACACTTTTAGGAGCAAAAGAGAATCTTGGTTTAACATTATCCCAACCTTGAAGATCCTGTAAGTCTACTTGCTTTATCTCAACTGCCTCCAAGACATATGCTGGCAATCGTACTCCAAGATTATGCCCCCCCAATATGCATCTGAAGGGTCTCATGACTGAGGTTTTACTAAACAGTAATAAATGGAATTTCGCTACCAACAGCTAGCCCCTCAAGGTCTTGGAAATCTTGCTTCCAAAATTCCTTAGAGACTTACTCTATCCCTGACCCCCCATCTCCCAACCTGAGGGTAGAGAGCTGCTCTTCTGCCCAAGTGTCCTATCCCCATGCTTTAATAACATCACCTTTTGCATCAAAGACTTCTTCAAGAATTCTTTCTTGGCTGTTGGCTCCAGATCACCCCACCATCACCCCAAAACTTCATCACTAGGATCTACTATAGAAGCTCTTCTGTATTTGGATGCAGTATATATTTGATAAATCAATGAATAAAAATATTAGTAGGTGTTCAAGAAACATTGGATTTAGAATCCAGCTAGAGTAGCCAGGGTAGTTTTTACTAACTCATTTTAAAGTTGAGAGAACAGAGACTTAAAAAGAATAATTCCCAGGACATTTGGCAAGAAATTCAAGAATGCCACACTTGTAACCCAAATCTTTAGGCATCTAGACGTGTATCATTATTCACATCATATTAATTCACTCATTTATCAATTATTTATTTACTATCAAGTTCACAGATTCTTTCCTCTGTGGTCTCCATTCTGCTATTGAGCCAATTCAGAGAATTTTTATTTTGGTAAATGTATTTTTCAGCTCTAAAATTTCCACTTGGTTCTTTTTTATATCTTCAATTTCTTTGCTGAAGCTTTCTATTTCTTTTATTGA